GCCCTTATTAACTTTTGGGTACTGTATAAGAACTTGAAAACTGACAGACAAAAAGTATAACTGATATTGTTCGACAAAAAGAAGGCAGCCTATAAGACCATGTACAATGCTAGGTGCTTGGACAAGTGCTTAGAAAAACAAACCAATTTTTCCTTAAGCGCCAGTGCTTATTTCTGAGGCAGAGGTTCCTAAATAAGCACCTGCGCTCTGCAAATAAGCACAAGTGCTTAAAAAACAATTATTTCCCTAAGCCCTTCTATTAGCACTTAGCATTGTACACAAAGGTGCTGGAGGACCCATCCATAGACTAAACCACCATCCATGCGGGTTAACTGGCTACTCGCTCCAGTTGGGTGCATGCTACCATAAAAAGCTCCCTGTGCTCGGGCTGCTGAATCAAAGACTGCGTATGGAGCCAATGCGTACATGAGTGTATAACCTGCGTAGGGGAAGAAATCCTCTTTTTGTCAAAAACCACATCATTCCTGCATAGCTAAGAGCCCAACACACCCCCACCAGTATGGGAAGAAAACCCGTATATTCTAGGGTGGCAGTTCTTCTATTTACTCACGCTAGCACGTACTATTACTAAGATTTGTTCAATCCGATTGCAGTTATTAATTTATTATACACTGTTCATAGGGTTGGACAATTTCCTTCCAAAACTAAGGGTCCATTTATGTATGTACTCCCTCCGTAAAGAAATATAAGAGTTGCACTTGTACTGATGAAAATAGAAGTTGATGGCCTCTGCACCACTTCAGCTTAAACAAATGGGTTTCAGTTGGCTCTGATGTGCTTCTTGAAGCTACTGTGGGAAATAAGTAGAAAGTGTTACTTTAGTTGGTGATCTGGACTAAAAAGTACTCCCTCCGTTCCTAAATATAAGTCTTTAGAGAGATTTCAATAAGAGCTACATACGGATGTATATAGACATATTTAGAGTGTAATTCACTCATTTTGCTCCGTATATAGTCCGCATTGAAATCTCTAAAAAGTCTTATATTTAGGAATGGAGTACAATAAACTCTGTTATCCAACCATTTGGTATGTTTTAGAAAACAATAATACATCTTTGCTGCTTGATCAAGAAAAGACGCCAAACCCTTGATACAAGCTGCTCAATCAAGCAAGGTTATGCAATCTAACATGATACCTGGTGGAGCCTTAACCAATTCTCCCTCAAACTTTCACCTCAATATAGCTCCAGAGTAAACAATTTATAGCTCCAGAGTAAACAATTTAATTACTGTCAATAATATAAGAGCGTTTTGCAAGCCAATGCTCTTATGTTGTGGGACGGAGGGAGTATAATATTATTGACAGTTTGTATTATTCCTCAAGATTATCTTTAATTTTCTTCAGGTACTCTTATGAGACAGAGGACCGATGGCTTTTCTT